CCTCTCGTATTTAACTCTTACGACACTTTATTATAATATTTTATTAAGTGACTCCCCTTATATGCTTAAAGCCCACGTCCACTTGACGTGGCAAGGCAATAGCAAACAAAATAAACTTAATCAAAAGATTTTGAAAATAGTGATGGTCCCTAAGGACCATCATGCTCATATAGACCATCACTTATTAAGAGTTTTTTTTATTTTTTTATTTTTATTTTTTATTTTTATTTATTTATTTATTTTTTAAAAAAAATTTAGAATTATTACATACCCCCTAGGGAAAAAATTCATTTTTTAGACAAAAATGTGTTTTCCATACACAAAAATCATTTTGGCCGAATTGATGGTGACTTTTGGACCCAAATAGCACATTGTCGAGCGCACTATCACATTGCCGGAGTGCACAAGTGCTAGACTGTCCTAAGACAACTACCAGACCAAAACTGAGTACTGTCGGACCACCTTTCCTTACTGCCGGACCGCATTTTACACAATGCTAGAGCCCTACTGCCGGATTGCAGTGTACTCATTGCCTTAGCCCTACTACCGAACCACATTTACACAAGTGCCAGACCGTCCTAAGATAACTACCCGACCGAAATTGAGTACTGTCGGACCACCTTTTCTTACTGTCGAACCGCAATTTACACAGTGCCGAATCCCTTTGTCCTAAAATAAAAGATAAAGACGGTTTGAATAACCTTCTAGTTCAATCAAAAAGATTTTACTTTACTCTCAAAATCAAGTGCTCTTGCAAGCCTGACCCTCCCGTGCCTCTCTCTCTCATCAACAAATCCTCCACACGCTATCTCTCTCTAGCCTCTCATCAGGTTTGTTCCCTTTCGCATTAGGGTTTCATCTCCATAACCAAGATGTCCATATTTGGAATTTCAATGCATGCTAATACAAACTATAGAACTGCGGTCGATCAAAACCCTAACTAATCGTGCAGGCTCTTTTCCTTTCTTTCTTTTATTAATTTTCTTTCCCAAATAAGTTCAGCAACAATAAGACTTGAACTCAAGACAACCATCTCACTTTTAGTATTTCAAGCTATGATTATGAAGCCAATCAATTGGCGGCCCGAAACCTATATGATAAAATGGTTGTCAACAATATACATTTTATGATAAAACTTTTAGGCTAATATACATTTTATGCTGAATTTGTTGCAACTCATCCAAACCGACGTAACCGGCAAATAAATTTTTCTTCTCATATCTTAATTGACATTCAAATGGTTTACCAACATAACAAAATAAGGCGATAATGTTTCTCAATTGAAGAGGAAAAAACTTGCAATTTTTTTCTATGTGATTTTTTTGTCTTTGACATAGCTATGGGAATTCGTGTTTCTCTTCTCTTTTTTTCTTTATTTTATTTATTTTTTTGCAAATTTATCTGAATTGTACAAGGTTTTATATATGGATGGCCCCTTAATCTTTGCATAATGGAGTCAGTTTTGTTAACCATCTTCTATAATGGGCATGTTCACTATTTGTAATCGTGGGTTTGCCTCTAATTTTTAAGGAGTATATAGTTTCCAACATCTAGATCATTAATATATATCATTAATATGTAAAAATAAATAAATTTTGAAAATTAAAAATAATAATTTGTATAGGAATATTTGGAGTATTGATTTTAAATTTTTTTTTTTTGGAGGGATCCCTATTACATCCATTTTTAAAATGGATGATTTATTCATCGAGAGACGCATGCATCCCCTATATAACACAATACCATTGCTCTCTCTTATCAGCAACCAGGCTCAAATAAAAGAAATTTATTATTCAAAAAAATTGTAAGTTTTTCAAGTATCAATTTAAAAAAAATAAAAAACCTCTTTTCTATTCTTATAAAGTTGTTTGAGTGTTAAAGTTTTTTTTCTCTCTACACTTCTCACTTACTGCAATCTCTTGTAATATCTTCTTCCTCTTCCCATCCTATTTCAATTTTTTGTCTCCACCTATAAATCCCTTTTTGTTGATAATAACGGCATTGTACACAAGGAGACCATTTACCTTTGATATAAGAAAGTTACAATTATTTGCAACCTTTCGATGTGAAATTTAATAGCTTAGGTATGTCATAAAATTTGAGAATTTTTTTTTTGAAATTTGAGCTGGTCAATAGAATAAATACGATAATCCAATTTCACATCCAATGGTCTCATTGTATACTTTTTTGATAATAACACTAAAAACTATTGGCAGCACCAGAGGAGCTTCTTGTGGTGCTTCTTAATTTTTTTTTGAAGTCGAGCACTTTTATCTTATTTCCTTTGTTATCTAGGAAAATTACAAAAAAAAAAAACCCAAGACTACATGTAACTTACCCCTAACCTAAAATACATTTTTTACGCAAATATCCCCCAACCAAATAAAAAATAAAAAAATGCCTAAACTACCTACCTTTAATTTTACCTTACTCATGCCTCTCGCTCCTCTATCCCACCAAATAGGGGCTCCGACACTACTCATGCCTCTCGCTCCTCTATCCCACCAAAATAGGGGCTCCGACACTGTGTAAATGGGGTCCAGCAGTAGTGCTGTGGCACAGTGTAAAGTGCGGTCCGGCAGTAGAGCTCCGCCACTATGTAAAGTGCAGCCCAACAGTAGGGCTCTGGCACTGCGTAAGGGGCGGTGCGGTCAGGCAGTAGGGCTTCAACACTGTGTAAAGTGTCGTCTGTAATTGAAAAGGGCGGTCCAGCCAAAGGGAGGTCTAGTAATAGATGTTATTGGATTCTAGAGCTCCGACACTACGTAAGGGACAATCCGGCAGTACTAAGTTTCGGTCCGATAATTGTCTTAAGGCGGTTTGGCACTTGTGCGCTCCGGGTTATATGCTACTGCGTCCAAAAGTCAACATCAAATGTGCTAGGTCCAAAAGTTAAACATCAAATGTGACCAAAATGATTTTTGTGTACATGAAAGGCATTTCCGTTTAAAACAAAGGAACTATTTTTTTGGGAGTATTTGCATAGAAAGTTTATTTTAGAGAAAAAAGTGAGAGAAAATCCTTTTTGGGGGTAAGTTGTATACAAAGTCTGGTCTTGGGGGACTTTTGTAGGCTGTTCTTTTGATGGTCCTCAAAAGCTACCTTTGTACAGATTGTAGTATTGGTAGAGAGAGAAAGTTAGGTGTTGGGTTTGCAAGGTTTAAAGGCTTTTTGAGAGAGAAAGAGATGTAGCAGGGTGCCAAAGAGAGAAACTTGGATCTTAGGTTTAGAGAGAGGGAGTTGGGAGAAGTTGAAATTTAGAACAAGGGATAAAAGATAAATAAAATAAAAATAAACGGTCATGACAAAATTTAAAATGAGGAACTATTTCGTAATAGAAAACACATATTATCAGTTAACCTTGGGTTATTCCAGTACGGTACTAGTCATAAGCCGACTCTGTTCATGAGCCCATTTTGTAAAATGATTTCGTGCGCCCATGGGAGCATACTATCCATTTGCTCCTTCGGGAAAAATTCAAGTTAGGAAATTTTATAGATCCCAAATTTTAGAGATGTTATCTCTAGAACCTAATGACGAACCTTAAGGAAGTAAAAAAAACCTAAAAAAAGTAGCTTGTGCTGTCTATGCACCCCAAAAAAAAAAAAATATCTAAGTGATCAAGTACCCCCTCTAATTTTTGGAGAGAAAAATCGAGATGTTAAAGAATTCAAAATACTTTGTTTTTTCAAAAAATAATTATGTATTTGAATTGAGATGGATCCCAAAAATTTTAGATGAAAAAAAAAACCTCCCTAATAGCTATTTTTCCAGAGGGAGTTATTTTACAGTATGCTCCCGCCTGAGCTTGCACAACTTTAAATTTTTAAGTATTGAACGCATTTACTGTATTCCTACTCCGTCAGGTAGAAAACTAACTTGGGAAGTTTATTTTTATCCAAAATTTTGGGAACAGTATTAAAAATAAAAGATTTTTAAGTATTGAGTTTTCTAACACATAGGTTGGACAGTTTCTATTAATTCTTGAGGCCTTATTTTTTGCAAGCCCATAGAAAGTATAATCTGAAAAATTATTTCATTGAGTATAATATATGGAGAATATAATCTGAAAAATTCTTTCATTGAGTATAACATATGAGTTGAACATGCTATATCCCAAAAATTTGAGGTCCAAGAAATGCTTTATATTTGGGTTTCACTCAAGGGAAACATTGTGCTCCCATGGAAACATGTTATTTTTTGTTTTATCTAAGGAATTTTTTTTTTTGAACGATATTTTTTTGTTTCATCTAAGTATTTATAGTTATGAACTTTATAATTCATATTTGGGGAATGATCTCATGTCAGGATGTCAATTTTATATAATTAAACCACACATTATGAAAACCATGTTTGTAGTATTTTTGTGACCCCAAAATTTGCACACACTTTCTTCAACTCAATAATCAATC